CTTGCTTATCTGAACTAACAGTATCTTGGGAAGATGGTATTTTCTTTCATTGTAGTAGACACATTTTTGTTACTTTAGCATTTGAGAAGTCCAAATGTAAAGTTAAGAAATTTCACAAAGTCCAGATTTAAATATTTCAGGCATAGCTGGTATAATCCAGGTAGAATTTGGGCCTCTGTCTTCTCCCCTGGCCTCCTGGTCCTGCTGCTTCTCTTTGGGTCTACCATTTAGTTTAGATAGAAGAGAAGGCTCTTGCTCTCTTTTGGTTACATAGTACAATAAAAGAAAAGTCCATTGAACAAAAAATTTAAATCACTTTTGCTTTCATAATAAAAACTAAAATAAAATTGACAAATTCTAAAAGGTATATACCTTTGTTTAAAAACAGCAAAACATTTAAAAGCTTAGCCACTAATTTGTATCATTAAAATATATTCTACTTGATATTAGTATTTTAATTCTGACAGCTCCGTATGTAACGTGTCATTAAGAATGTTAAAACGTGACTTCAGGTCTTAAGCTTATAAAATAAATACTTGATTATTTTTTAACATACATTTTTCAGTTGTTAACTGTGGTCATGTCTAAGACTTTTATTTTTTTTAAAGATTTATTTATTATGTATACAGTATTCTCAGTATTCTGTCTGCATGTGTGCCTGTGGGCCAGAAGAGGGCACCAGATCTCTTTACAGGTGGTTGTTGGGAATTGAACTCAGGACCTTTGGAAGAGCAGGCAGTGAGTGCTCTTAACCACTGCGCCATCTCTCCAGCCCCTAAGACTACATTTTAATGCTTCCTGACTGCTCTTTGCCTGGGGAGAGAGGAGGTTAAACAGTTTACAATATCATACTAGATCTTAGCAAGCACAGCATAGTAATTAGCATTGCCCTTGCCTTTTCTTCCCCCTTTGCTTCATTTTTAGGCTAACATATATTTGTTACCTTTCTGTTGCTCTGATGACCAAAGGAAACTTAAGGAAGAAAAGGTTTCTTTTGGCTTATGATTTCAGAGGGCTAGAGTCCATCAAGGCCGGGCATTAGGAGCAGGAAGCTGGCTTATCACAAAGGGATCAGGGTGTGGTTATATGTTTCAAAGCCTATGATATACTTCCTATAGCAAGATCTTACCTCCAAATGGTGCCACCAGAAGGGGATTGAGTATTCAAATACGTGGTCTTGTGAGAGACATGCTTCATTCAAACACCACAACATACAACAAATGGGTTTTACCATGGAATAAAATCTTCCCCCAGATCTGGTTCCCTTTATTCCCGGTTAATAAGAATCTGTATCTATCTGTATCCTGTTTCCTTAGAAAACCCCTAACAAACAGTTAATTTGCATTCCTTAGGTATTGCTCAGCTGAAGCCTTGGGAATTCTCCATTATAATTTTTGAGCGTTCCATAAATGTTAGGTTCATTTAATTGTTTTGAATCATCATCCATCTAACCAGACAGTATTTATGGACTGTTTACTGATCTTAGCATGATACTAGAGGTTGAAGATAAAAGATGCCCAAAGTAGTGGTCTGCTTTTCCTGGGGAAAGAGCCCTCAAAACAGTTCTGAGTACAGGGCAAAGAGGGATGAACAAGGCGCAGGGATAGAGCAGAGGATTTTGGCAGTGCTGCTTAGAAATGGTGCTGTGATAGACAGCCCTTCAGCTAGGTCTCAGATATACAGAAAAGACAAGACTTAGCACCAGTGGGTTTTTTTGGGGGGGAGGGGGCGGTTATAACTCAGACTAGTAGTTACAACCCTTCTCTGTGTGTGTGAGAGAGAGAGAGACAGAGATATGTGAAGGAAGTTTATACAGTGATAGAATTCTGCTGTCTGCTTGACTGTATGCACATTTATAAAGTCTTTAGGAACTGCTTTCAATTATGTGCAATATAATATCTAAATATATGAAGGAAATTAGTTTATATATATTTTTTAATAAAGGGGTTGTTGCCGGTGACAGTGTGTTGTCTATGGCAACCTACCAATTGCTGAATTTGGCAGAACTTAGGTCAAGGACATAAGAACCTTTGTACGCCTTGTAGAGGCATCTGGAGATAATTCTTGTAGCCTGAGGAGGAGGAGGAGGAGCAGCTGTATTGTGTGTCCCTAAAGGGTATCAGGGAAAACAATTACTTCTTATACTAAGGCTACACATTTTTTTTTAGATTTATTTATTATGTATACAACATTCCTTCCATGTATGTTTGCATGCCAGAAAAGGACACCAGATCTCATTATAGATGCTTGTGAGCCACCATGTGGTTGCTGGGAATTGAACTCAGAACCTCTGGAAGAGCAGTCAGTGCTCTTAACCTCTGAGCCATCTCTCCAGCCCCAAAGCTGCACTTTGTCCATTTTTTCTCTGCCTAGGACTAGAAGGTGAGAAATGTTACACGTGTGTGTGTGTGTGTGTGTGTGTGTGTGTGTCGTTTCTATCCTTCCCCTCTCCTATATTTCTCAAAAAAGTGAGCGTTAGCTCCTTATCCATCTTCCTCAGGATACGTACACCTTGTCGCTGTCATTTTAATGAATTGGGTCCCACAAGGCTAAGCAGCTCTTCCAGTAATCAAGTAGTTTCTACCTTGGGTAGTACCGTCCTTGAATCTTGAAATTACAAGAGGCTTTTCGTAGCTGCCTTTCCCACTTGAAGCATGCTTCTTTTGCCTGGCCTACATGTAGTAAACCTCACTTCACTGCCTTCCAAAGTCAGCGAGACAGACCACTTTGCTTGCATGATTATGGGTGAGGGGGCAGAAGCTTGGACGGTTTACTGGAGGCTGCATCACTGAAGACAGTGCTTCTTCCCCCAGCAATCATTAAGAGCCCACAGATACTCAAAGAGGACTAGTCCTTATTAGCTTCTCTCTCCATCAATGAAGGAATGTTTGTGTGCAGGTTTATGTAGCTCTTGGCAGATAACACAGCTACTTGAGACTTCTGAGTATAGTGACCAGGCATGCCTGGAAGACAGTGATCTACAACACTCCACCCTTGGCTCTTACATCTTTCTATCCCATCTTCAATATCCTCTGAGAGCCTGAAGGGAGTGGGTACAGATGTCCCATTTAGAGCAGTACATCCAACAGTAACCTTATGAATAGAAAGTTTCTGTTTCACTATCACTATCATGGCCCTTCCTCTTTCTAACCCTTTATTTCATCTACTGACTAAATATACCTAATCAGCTCTCTGTACCTGCTAAAATATTCTTTTTAGTAGCCTCTTATGCGGCAGACACTATGGGGGTTGGGAGCTAGCAAGCCACAGTCTTTGTCCATCAACATTAACCCATCTATTCCCTTGCTCATCATACACCCTGTGTATGACAAATGTTCTGCTGTAGTCTTATACATATCCATACTGTGTTTCCTTATCCCAGAGCTGTTTCTGAAGAGAATGATCCTTGTCTTGTATATATAAAGACTATCATTATTATGAAAGATTGTGCAAAGCTCATATCCCGCATAATCAGCTAATCGAGAAACCTGTCTATGCCTCAGTGGTGGCTAATACCAGGCTGTCTGCCATTGACCTCCAGGAAGCCTAGTCCCATGGGACACATATGTCATGTCACACAGACAACACTGGAGTTGGTGTGGCACCCACCCTGTCCCAAACTCTTTGCTGTAGAGACGACCCTGCTTCAGATGATATTGCTCACAATTTTTTACCTTTGAGGTGCAAGGGCAGTACAAGCTCAGTGAAAACCCTGGTTCAGATTTTGAGTCTAGGGCTAGGAATTTGTAGTATGGTGTGCTTCTAAGACTGGTTCCTACATCCCAATTAATTACAGAGGTAGTACACAGAACACTGAACACTATAGTGTACTGTGCTAGGCGTGCTATGTGGTTTGATGGGTAAGATTAATTAAATACTTAAAAATATTTTAACATAAAATGGGCTTATTGGATGTGCAGGAGCATATGTACTAAGGTTGTATGTTGTATGCAAAAAAGTCTTAAAGAGTATCACTAACCTTTTGAGTTTCTTTTTCAATCCACTGCAGTACTTTAGAATTAATTCAAGTTGTTTCATATATCTATAGTTCTTTTTTTATTGCTAAGTCATTACATTATATAGATGTACCACAGTTTATTTGTCCAGTGGATATTTGGGCTATAAATTACTTATTTCCAGTTTTGAATAATTTTGAATAAGTTTTGATGTGAATGTAAGTTGTTTTTGTATGTGGGGGTAATAATTTGTCGTGATATTTTTGTCTTTTAGGGTATTTGCCTAACTTTATTAAAAGTGCCAAATGTTTTTATATTTGTTGTACAGCTTTACATTCTTATAAGTATTGTAGGGAGCTGCAGTTGTCTTCAACCCACACCAGCAATCTTTTTATCTTACCCTTTCTGTTTTGTGTGGGGTAGTATTTTCTGATTTCTTTATCCATTTTCTGATGAAGAATACCAAGCATGCTTTTTCATATATGTGCATATCTTGTACATATCCTATTTGGTGAAGTATCCATTCACATGTTTTTGCTTAGTTTTTTGTTTTGTTTGTTGTTTTCACCTGTTAAATCATAAGAGTACTTTGTGTAGTCATGAATGGGTTTGCTGATAAAGTTGCCTATCTGGATAAAGATTCTAAATGCTTAGGATCAGAAGTTTCTCAGCATCCAGGACATTCATATTTTGGAGTGTTTTTCTGCATTTATGTAGTTTTGAGTCGAATGTACCTACCTAATTTCATCTTTCTCACATATGGACTTCTTTAAGAGTTCTTTATTTGTTTTAAAAGAAGTAAAATTGTGTGAAAATGTTCATCTGTAGACAGCCTTAAATTCTTAACTGTATTAAATTAGATATTTTACCTTTATTTAGCCTGATGTAATTATATTAAATGACTAAATCAGTAATAACAAACTTGTGTTTGTAGAAATGTTATAGCCTTTAAAGAACTTTGAAATTTATATAATACTGATTTGGCTTTTTTGTTATTTTAGCAGAATGTATACCGTGTTATTTACGTCTTCATTTCTGTCTTAGGTACGTATAGCAGCAAAATTCATCATTCATGCCCCTCCTGGAGAATTTAATGAGGTTTTTAATGGTAAGTCATTAAAATCTTTAAAAACTTACTCTGTGTGTGTGTGTGTGTGTGTGTGTGTGTGTGTGTGTGTAGGTAGGTAGGTAGGTAGGTAGGTAGGTAGGTAGGTAGGTAGGTAGGTGTCAAAGGACAATTTTATGTGAATTGGTTTCTTCTGTTATGGGTTCTGAGGATCTAGCTCAGGTTGTGAGGCTACCACAGCAAGTACTTTTACAGCTGGACCATTTGAACCCCTATGATAAGCTTAATTTGTAATGCTAAGGCTTGATATATTCTTCCTCTTCAGAGCTTTCTTTATAAGGAAATAAAACCTACTGAAAGTCAGTAAAAATGGGAGTATTTATCTGTTCCTCACAAGATTATAAAAGGACAGAAGGCTTGTTGGTGCCCCTTGATCACAAACTGTAATTATGTTTTCTATAGGCCAAACTTGTTTGAAATCTGTGAATGTGTTGTCAAACTAAGAAACATAGTCCTAAGTATTTTCTGGGAATTTATCAGACCATTTTCTGCTGCAGTTTATCTTTAATTCTTTGGAGATACTGTGCATCTGCCTACAGCAACTCTTTAAACTGACTTTTTTTTTTTAATTTCCTTTTCTGTTACCTAATCAAAATCTTTTGCTTTGTAAATACCATGGTGCATATTTGTGGATAGTTTGGTCATTAGAATATTTTGATCTTATGTGTATGGGAAGTTTTAATGCTTCAATAAAACAAACTGTACTCCTTGCAATATTCATAATATACATAAAATATAAATATAATATTGTTTTGCAGATGTTCGATTATTGCTTAATAATGATAATCTTCTCAGGGAAGGAGCAGCACAGTAAGTATTTTATTTTTCCATAATTAAGGTGACTGGGAAAGAATAGATGTTGTAAAGTTGACAATGAATGTCTAGTTCTTGACGTAGAGTTTCTGAAATACAGTAAAGTTTGCACAACTATTTATAGATGTATTCACATTTACATATATGTGTATATTAGACTGAGAAGTCACGGGTAGTTAGGGACAAATATGAAATAAAGTTCTCTTTTCTTTGGGTGTTTGCCACTGACTTACATACTACGTAACATCGCTCCTATATTTACTATGTACATGATACACAACATGCATATCTTTTAAAATCTCAACTTAAACTTTACTCTGAAGAAATGATTGTCACTTGCTATTAAATAATGTTTCAAAGCTTGTATAGCCTAAGTTTAGGCGGCATCACCAAAATAGTCCATATGTTCCCATGCCAGTTCTCTGGAGCAAATATATAAGCAGAAATGTGGGCTCCTCTTCAGTTGTTTTTGATACTGAATTTTTTTTGATGTATTCATATCTCTTTCCTACATGTGCTATTTTCTTCCCTTAGAAAAGATGTGGCTTCATCTTTTCTAGTCTGTCTTTCTTTTTTCTTTCTTTATTTTTCCCTCTTTTTGTAAGGGGACAAAGCAGGGCTATCGGTTTTTTTGTTTGTTTGTTTTTGAGTGGATAGAGTTGATGCCTCTTTACTAAAAGCCAAAATTTCATTATCTGTGCAAGTAAAATTTGACTCACTGAAAGAGCCTGTTATATTAAATCTAGAACACTGAAATACCTCCAAATACTTGTATTCAACAGACAGAAGAATATCAGTCTTCACCATTATGAAATCAGTAAGCCTTATAGGAATTTTTTTCATCAGATTCAGAATGTCCAGTATAAGACCATTTGAAATAAAATAGAATACTGGAAACATATCAAAGGCCTTCAGAACCCAAAGAAAGAACACTTTAATATCTATTTTGAAAAAAAGATTGGGTTTATTTTATTATTGGTTATATATATATGTATATGTGTGTGTGTGTGCTTGCTGATTCCCACAGAAGACATATAAGGATATTGAATCTCTTAGAACTGTAGTTAGAGGCAGTTGTGAGCTGCCCAGCGTGGGTATTGGGAGTTACTTCAAGTTCAGTATATGCTCTTAACTACTGAGCTATCTACCTAAGCCCTTTGGCTGATTCTGAAATGCTGAATAAGGTACTTATTTTGGAAGGGACTTTGGAAGTCATCTAGTACAAATTTGGTGTTATAAGGTAAATGAAGTTCTTACTAGCTAATAATAGGATTGGAAAAATCATATATTCTGATTGCTCTACTGTGAGTACCTTTTGCACTGCACTGTACCATTTATTTAAGTGTTTTAGATAAAAAAAAAAAAAAACCTGTCACATACTTACTTTAGTTTTTCCAGTTTGCTCCTCTTCCTACTCCTGCCTCCAGGTTAAAGATACATGAGGTTCACCTGCTACTAAATTGCTATTTACATTTCTCAAAGTATTCATTTATTTATTTGGTTGGTTCTGTGTGTGACAGCCCTAGCCGTCCTGGAACTCACTTTGTAGACCGGGCTAGCCTAGAACTCACAACGATCCGTCTGCCTCTGCCTCCCAAGTTCTGGGATTAAAGGTGTGCACCACCACCGTCCAGCCTATATGTTTTAAAATACAGATTTTATTAGAAAAACTTAATTCTAAACTCTAAGTGATTGAATTTACAAACATAGCTTTGAAGTAACTAATTCAAGGGTTAGTAAGTGTCTTAGTTACGGATGCATTGCAGTGATAACATAGCTGTATAAGCAACTTAGCCTTTGGTTTTGGAAAATTCCAGTAAATGATGGTACAGAATTCATGGTGGCAGGAGCTTATGACCGAGGCCATTCAAAGGACCAGGAAACAAAGAGCAAGACCAGAACCAGGGGATGACTATAACTTTGAGAGCCCTGACCCGGTAACCTACTTCCCCAAGCTTAGTCCTCGCTTCCTCAGACTTGCACAGCCTCCTACAGTAGCCACATCACCTGTGGAACAGGAGCCTTTTGTGGGCATTGCATATACAAAGTCTGACAGTCTGACCACATTCAAACTATTACTGGTGTGTTAAGAAAGTTGAAAGCAAGTAGCGGATCTGACTTCCTGTCTGTGCACTTCTGCGATTGCTTCCTTCAGTTTTTAAAGTGCTGTGTTGGGACCTTCAAGAGATGGTCATTTAATTTTACTTTGGTGTCTTTGTATTTATTACTCTCCTATAATAGATATAGTCTTAAAGTTTAAAACTCTCAATACTGTTCTGTTAAGTGGAGACAATTTCCTAGATGTATAGTAGTATCAATTTAACAGAACACAGTTGCAGTTCTGTATATAATTTTCCATACTTTGAGTCTTTCCTACACGTGTTACATAATTATCATGTAAATATATTATTCTTAAGTTATAAAAGAGGCCTTCGTCTATATCTCCACCATTTTGTAGCTAAGTTTCTGCTGTAGGCTTTTCGATAGCCTTGCAGCTTTTCTGTTTCTACTCACCGCACTGCATGATTTGTTGTATGCACCACTGCCACATTAGTCTTAAGAGGCACATCTGTCACTGTGCTTTGCCTCTCAGAGTAATTCTTCTATCCTCGATACCTTCCAGGGTTTGGTGAGATGGTTCAGTGAGTAATAGCGCTTCCTACCCATCTGTGCAAGCCTGGGGACCCAAGTTCAATCTCCTGATCCCATGTCCAGGTGGTAGGAGAGGACCAGCTCCATAGAGTTGTCACCTCCATACATGCAGCATAACAAGCCTCCTTCTGCCATCACAAGCAAGCATAATGATAATAATCTAAAAGATCTTCCAGTGCAACTCAGTAAATACCAGTGAGCACCTGGTTGGTGCTTTCTGTGGCATTGGACCTTTTCTATCCTTTATTCCTACCAGTCCCTCTAATTAAAACATTCTTCTCTTCCCTTCCTATTATCCCCTCTCTTCTCCCTGTCCCTCTCTTTTTGTCATGTGTGTGCATGTATGTATATTTAAATGTAATTACCCATGTGTGTTGGTGTAGCCTGAGATTGACATGGGGTCTCTTTCTCTCTTGCTCTCCACCTTATGTTCTTAGACAGGGTGTTACACTGAACCTGAACCTCACCCTTTTAGTTAGGCTTGCCGTCCAGTGAACCCCTGAGGGGAGCCAATTTCTGTCTCCCAGCACCAGGATTGCAGACCGTGCTCTGTCTTTACGTGGTTCCTAGAGATTTGAATGCAGGTTCTTATGTATGTGCAGTAAACCCTTTTACCCTGAGCTGTCTCCCCGACCCATCTCTGACTTTCAGAAGATAGAGCCTGCTTAATTTCTTAGAGTCACATTGATGAAATTATTCTAGGGGTGTTTTTGTTGTTTTTACTTTTGCCATGATACTGTAATTTCTTGAAAAAGCATTGGTAATTCTCGAATATTTCTATTTTTTGCTATGACTAGGTGTTCTCATTAGGCATTTATTCTCTCTTGTATTCAACTATAAGACTTCTGTCAATAGAAACTGTGATTATCACAGTACCTAGTCTGTAGACTAATTTCTTAAATAATTGTATATGTACATTAAAAATTGGTGATCATTGCTTCCAGGTTCTTTTAATAAGTGGCTTATATATGCTGGTTGTATTTTATTTTGCTAAGTTAAAAGCTGTGTATCATTGCTTGTTTTTTGTTTTTTTTTAACAACTGTATCTATAGTTTAGCTGTAGGTAAAAGAGTTACAGCTTTATTAACCTTAACATGTACAGTATAGATTTACTGTCAGTTGATTTTGAAAAATATTAGTATGGTTTTGAATAATTGGACTTTTTCTTTTTTAGTGCATTTGCACAGTATAACTTGGACCAGTTTACACCGGTAAAAATTGAAGGCTATGAAGATCAGGTATGTGTCATAAAATACAAATCACACTGCTTTTTGTTTTAGTTATAAAAATGTATCCTGAAAGAATTGTTAGATAGTATAATAGTACTCATTTTAATCATAGGCATTTACTGGCAAAGTAATTGAAATGCTCATTTATCTGAAAATCACTTTTAGCATTAACCCAGCTGTAATGTCTTACACCTGTTCTAGCTTTCATGAGGCTGAGATAGCAGGATTGCTGTTAATTCAAGGACAGCTTGAGTTACATAGTGAGTACCAAGATAGACTGAGTTGCATTGAATAACTTTACATTTAAAACCATGAAATAGTAAGGTTCCTAGAAAATAGTTGGATTATATCTACAAGTCTTTCTGTATTCTCTTTTCTAAAGCAAAACCCACCAAAAGTCATTACCATTTTTTGTTGTTGTTCTTTAGAGCTGTCATAGTCAGTGACTTGTGATTCTATTGAGTCATAATTACATGGATTGCATCAACTGATGGGGACAATACAAGAAAAAAGATTGGAAAGAGTCTTTGGTTGCTTCTGTTTGGCATTATTATATAGCTTAAGTTTTGTGGTTCAAGGGGAGAACTGTAAGACTAGACAGATAACTTGTAACTAAAGGGAAAACGTACATAGCTCTGCATGAATGTGAGTAGAGAGCTAGATGAGAAGTGAGGAGGGCTGGCTGCTCTTGCAGAGGACCCAAGTTTGGTTCCCAGCAACCACTTCAGACAGGCCACAGCTATCTGTATCTTCTGCTTCAGAGGTTGTGCTGCCCTCTTTTGGTCTCCATCAACATCTACACTCACATGGACAGACATGCAAACATACATACACATTCACATGGACAGACATGCAAACATACATACACATAATTTAAAATATAATTTTGGTCCGTTGATTTTTTTTTTAATTGGTTACCTTTACAGGCAATACTACATTGATTGTGTTTGTATTCTTGGTAACATTGACAATGATTGTCTTTAGATGAATCCGTAGAAGAACATTTACTACATTAGAAAATGCATCTTTTTAAAATACTTACTGGCTTCTAAAGTCATTTTAACAAGCTAGCATAATTTCAGTACTTCAAAAAATGTCTTAAAAAGTAGTGTATACTAATTTCATACATTGAGTGTAGTTTTAAGAACTTTAAAGATAGTAACAAACAGGGCTGGAGAGATGGCTCAGTGGTTAAGAGCACTGCCTGCTCTTCCAAAGGTCCTGAGTTCAATTCCCAGCAACCACATGGTGGCTCACAACCATCTGTAATGAGGTCTGGTGTCCTCTTCTGGCTTGCAGACATACACACAGACAGAATATTGTATACATAATAAATAAATTAAAAAAAAAAGATAGTAACAAACAATGGGCCAGTAAGGTGACTTAATAGGTAAAAGCACTTGTTGTGCAAGATTAATGACCTGATTTTGACCCCTAGAACCTACAGTGGAATGAGTGTCTTGAGTCTCAAATGCTGTCCTCTAAGCTAAGCATGGTGGCAAGGGATTAGCAGACTCGAGGAAGTTTAGAATGTTCACTTTCCCTGTCACCATGGTTCCACATGGTCATCCATCTTGGCGTTTTAGGTGATTTTCATCTGGGCCAGCCCAACAAGATGCATAAAAAGGTTTATGTTTATATATGTATTTTTATCATTCCTTGAAAACAGTGACCCACAAACCATACGTGTACATATTTAACGTACATTTATTACCACAAAAAAAGTTAGAAAAGCTAGATCCTATGTTGTCAGCTTTATTTACATCAGAGGGATAGGAAAGTCCTGTCACAGACTGGTACAGCTGCAGAAGAAAAAGGCTTTGTTTTGTTTTGTTTTTGTTTTGTTTTAAGTATGACACAAAATAAAGAGGTTATTCATGTAATTTAAATGTACATAAATGTATAAACTATATTTTAAAGTTTTGGAAGTTAGTAGTAGTAATTAGTTTATAAGAAACAAAGCACATGCTGGAGAACAGAAAGAATGTGAGCACCAAACAGATGAGGACTGGAGAGCTGCCTTGCTGGATTGAAACCGTCTCATTGATAGGGTCTTGGTATTTAGGAGCTCAGGCCTGCTCTTAGAAATAGTAAACTGTGGCCAATTGTGTGGGTTGGGGAATAGATGGGTGACTGGATAGCCAGTTCCCCTCTTAGAATCCAAAAATTGTAGTGCAAGAAGCTCTAATGTACTAATTGAGAATATCCTTGGTATCCTTGTGGCCTACTCTTTTAAAAGAATGTATTTGCACAACATAGTTAAAGCAGTTGCTTACAGTATAATTGTATGGTTTCAGAGCGGGGCTTAAGCAAGTGTTTGTGACTGTGTATCCATGTTAATATTGTTTTCCTAATTTCGTTTGAAAATTAAAGGTGTTGATAACAGAACATGGAGACTTGGGAAATGGAAAGTTTTTGGATCCAAAAAACAGAATTTGTTTCAAATTTGATCATTTAAGAAAAGAAGCAACTGATCCAAGGCCATATGAAGCAGAAAATGCGATCGAATCATGGAGAACATCAGTAGAAACTGCACTGCGAGCTTATGTAAAAGAACATTACCCGAATGGGGTCTGCACTGTGAGTTCCTTCTGTTCCTCATACATAGGAGACAGTTTGTGTAATTCCCTGAAATTTACAGAAATGTATAGAGCTAACAGCTATAAGTTCTGACTTTTTTTCTTCAAAGAATGTTTATCTTTCTAAAAAATATATTCTCAGACGAATTTTGCATTAAATTCAGTTCGGTTAAATTGAGATTAAATTCAGTTCAGACACTGGATTAAAGAAAATGGTGGCACTGTCTTTAGTCTTCTGTTCATGTCTCATCAGCCTGAATTAACTTTTAATTCAGTTACAGAACTCTTAGAACAAATAAATTTGGAAATGGAATTATTTCAAGTATTTTATAGTTTAATTTGACTTAAACTATTTTTATTTTTTCAGAATGAAATGTAGTAGGAAATCTGAATGGTTTTTGTTTTTGAACTTTCCTAGGATGGTTGTATTCATACAGATTCTTTAGCACCTCAGTTTGGTCTACTCCACAGCCATAGTGATCTTTAGAAATGCAGATAAGATCCTGAAAAATCCCCCATTTGGATCCTTCACACATTCAATGTGGGTAGAATTGAGGCATCTGAGCTTGTGAAGCCAGGTGGTCTTGGTTCTGTTTACCTATCTAACCTAAAACGACTATACATCATCGTTTATACCCACTTTCTGCAGTACCTTATAGACGCTTAAAGTTGGGCATTTGTGGCCCTAAGTCAACTCACTGTTCTTGTTTTCTTTGCCAATAGGTGTATGGCAAAAAAATAGATGGGCAACAGACCATTATTGCATGCATAGAAAGCCATCAGTTCCAAGCAAAAAACTTTTGGTAAGTTAACTTTTTGTGTACTTAATTTTAACATTGTTTGTATTCCATGTAAATCAATCACATATGTGTGACTAAAAGTGATATAAACTTGATACATAAAACTACTGCCATTTGAGAATTTGAAAGATAACTTGCTTCATGATGATCATCCCAGTCATTTGGAATGCGGTAAATCTGATGACATTCATCACAGAGTATAGGAGAACAGAGTGAGTTGGGACAGGAACAGGGGGCAACCTATGTGAGCAGGTGTGCTTGCAAACAGACCAGGTGGCAGGGCCATCTGCTCATGCTGAGAACAGGGTGCTCTGTATGAATGAGCCTTACTCAAGAGAGAGGACAGAAATGTTTAAAAAAAAAAATAACTAAGGACTTTAAACTTGGACTTTTGGGTTAGATGTTTTTTGTGGACATGGTTTTGTTGGAAATGTAAGAAATTACAATCATGCTTTATAACTGTGTACACAACAGTTTGTATCCACATTTATTTTCCCTATTAATCAGATGTTTGAAAATTTGAATTTTTTTCTGAGATTGTGTATTAAAAATTGACTGAAATCTTAGCTTTGGACCCTTTTTTGTTAATACATTATGAATATCAGAGTAAATATGATGAAATGTTGTTTACCTTTCAAGTATGTTGAGTTTTGATTCATTAGCCAGGTTGTTTGGGGATACTCTTTAGGGTAAAGTTACAAGTGTCAGTCGCCCCAGTTAGACCAGCTTGGGTCCTAACCCAAGGCTGCTGCTCTAGTCCTGTCAGAAATAAATACCGGGTTCCATAAAGGTTAATCAAAAATATTTGGAGGAATGCAGATCCATCATCCATATCTAAATATATTCCTAAATGACAGACTACAGCTTCCTAAGGATGATAACGTACAGAGGTTCTCTGTCTTATCTCCATAATCCTAAACTAGTGAATCTTTAGAAAGCTATTATTTATATTTTTGTGCAGGAAAGAAAAACAAAGTCAACTGTTGAGCTTGAACTACTAAATAAAAATTCTTAGTAATCTTTATTTATAAATCTTTTGGGAACTTATTACTAGCTTTCAAAAGTAAAACTCCTTTGAGCTTTACTATATAGGAAGTGAATTAAACCTCTGGAGTTTTCTGTTCCCATTATTTCATTTTACATACTGACCCCTTTTGTAAGTCATCACAGTGAATACTGTGTCTTTGAAGCTAAAAATGATTTTCACTTTGTAGAAAAAATAAATTTTAGGCTGGACTTGGTAGTAGACAGCTATAATCCCAGCACTCAGGAGGCCAGGGCATGAGGATTGCAGGATTGCAAACTACCTGTGCTCACGATGAAGATCCTGTTTTAAAACAAAGAGACAAAGACAAAATAGAAGAAGAGGAGTCTGAAGAGTTTATTATACTTCACTTTAAATCATTACGTTCGTTTCCTCATGTATGGCAGTATTTAGGAACTTAATAAATATTAGGAGCACACATTTGTAATTATATAGAATTAATAAAAGAGGGATATAGACTTAGTTAAATCTAGGATATGTTGGCCATTTACTCTGTTGAGGAAAGGCTGTTGTTACTTGGTGCAGTAATACTTTTTGAAGAACCTTTTGAAATCATTCTCAAATTGTGGTTAGATTTCTATTTTTCTTCGCATGGTCTGAGGCAATATATGTATATTCTCAGAGTAATGCATGTATTTAGGACTCAGTCCTTTCTTGGTATAATGTCTTAATAAAAGAAATAACTTATTTTGGAAATATGAAACAAAAATGATGAGATTTAGATTGTTGCAGCCAGGCTTCTTTGAATGTGTTTAGATAAGCCACTCAGAAACATGTTTTTCATTATATTATCTTTTGCTGCCTTAATAGTTTTCAGATGATGTGTATTGACTATAGATATGAGGTTTTTGTCATTATATAGATGCTTTTCCTAGAGCAAAAAAAACAGAAGTAATTTTATGGTGAATGGTCATCTAACAATCTATTAATAGAAACTTTAAAAAAAACTCAGAAAAGCATAATAAATGTCATTAATATACAAAGAAAATGTGTCTGAAAAAGATTTTTGTGCAAAGAGTGTCAGAAAAATAGGAAGAAAACAATAATACACAATTGGTTAATAGTGTTACTAATTTCCTACTGTGAATGTGTTATTTTGTATACCTGTACCAAAAAGCTTTTTGAAAGTCCTGCCATTTGTGTGAAATCTTAAACCTAATGTTGGAAAAGACAGCTGTATCTACAGTTCCCTTTCCAGATAACAAAACCTAACTGATATTTGTTGTTACTTTGTGTCATTTGGAAAATGTAAAACAGCTCCATTTGCGTTTGGGGATAACCCATGATCCTTCAAAAGTTCAGTTATTTCTTAAATCACTTTAAGGGACTGGGGAGATAGCTCAGTTGATATTTCATAAGGATGTGAGTTTGATCCCCACCATAGGGGTGATGATTCTTTCTCAGAGCTGGGGAGGAGGAAACTGGTGGACCTCTGGGGTTCTCTGATAATCTAACCTAGCATACTTGGTGAACTCTGAGTCAGTGAGAGATGGTGTCTCAGAAATCAAGGTGGATGCGTTCTTAGATGCAACATCAGAAGTTGGCCTCTTGTCCCTACATGTGCCTGAATGCATATGTATCTCCCCTACGCAAACATACAAAAGAAAGTAGTTTAAGACTCTCTTAAAGTGTTTTAGTGTCAGCAAGATGATGACTCAGCAGGTAAAGTCATCTGTTTGTTAAGCCTGATGCTCTTAAATGTGTTTCCTGACACCCACATAATAGAGGAAAAGAACCAACAACTTTCCCTCTGATCTCCACATGCATCAGGTGTCACATGAACACATACACATATGCACAAAATACATACATATATACATATATATATGTTAAAACAATTCTTATGTTAGTTTTGAATTATATTTTAAACTTTAGTTTTAGAATTGTGAATTATTTTCATTATGTATGTCTTCTTGGGCAAAGATTTAATGTGTCTTAAAACTAAACTTTGAATCTCTTGAATGTTTCAGTGGTTATAAAATCTGTGCCCAATGTCTTTCTCCTATTCTCTTACACATTGTAGCATTACATTTAAACCTGAAACAATATTGATTCAAAATATTTTCCCTACCCTTATTTACAGCTGCTGTTTTTATTTTTAAGGAATGGTCGTTGGAGGTCAGAGTGGAAGTTTACAGTCACTCCTTCCACCACACAGGTGGTTGGCATCTTGAAAATTCAGGTATGAGGTACAGAGATTATTTAAGGATCTCTAGAAGGTTCTGAACTAAGACACGGTTAAGCAGCTTATACTTTCATAGTACACCATAACTTTCGAGATTGTCTTTTAGAGCAATGGAAAAAACAAGTAGTGCTCTTTTTAAGTCTTTTAAATAACCTGTCATTTAATTCCCTAGTCATTAAATGTCCTCAAGGATAGCTGACAGTTTCTAAACCAGAGCTAAAATTAGATGATGCCATTTGGTCTCCTCTTCATACAGTTTGTTCAGCTAAGCATTTCAGTTGAGTGTGTTCTTCTGTAATCTGAAATAAATGGAGTTAGGTGAAGCATAATAATATATACATATGACTTTTAAGTAACTTCTTGTTTGAAATGCCCCAGAACTGAACTCTGGTTAATAATGTAAATTTCATTATTAATATAGAACATTTATATAGAACAAGTAAGTGCTTGTTTAAATATTAATATTGCTGTATAAGTTAAGGAATGTGATGGCTAATCTTTGGGTTCACTCATCACAGCAGCACCCATTGTGAAAATTAACTATATGCTTAAAGCCATAAAGGAATCAGAGTACTGAAACATGTCATCTGGCTTTGGCATACACTCTAGTGTTGTGTTCTGCTGCCCTTATATGTTTTTCTGCCTGTTCCTTTAGGATTAGAAGTTGAGAGCATGAAGTTTGAAATCAGATTTCATGCGTTTGAATCCTAACCAGTTATTGTTTCTGTCTGTGACTTCAGGAAGTTGTTTGATCTTATTTCCCTCTGTTGAAAACAGTTTAAATGTTTTTAGAGTGTTTGAGAATTAGTTCATGTGTAAAATGCTTAGAGTTAGGTGCAAAGAACTCTGCATAGCAGTTGTCATTGTTAATGTTTTCCCTTTCAGTTTGGCCTCAGTAGCTCTTACCTGGACAATTACGTAACTTTCAAAAATGATGCCGCTGGTTGGAGCTGCTTGTCCTAGTCTGCCTTCAATGCTTAGCATAGTGCTTAACATGTACTGCAAGTTTATTTATTAGTTTACTCTGTCTTACTTTTCTATTGCTGTGCAAAAACACCATGACCAAGGCAATTTACAGGTGAAAGAATTTATTTGGGCTTGCAGTTTCAGAGCGTGGCTGCAAGCAGGCAACCATGGTGCTAAGAGAGCTGAGAGCTTACATCCTGATTCATCAGCACAAGGGAATAGTGAAGGCCTTTAAAACCTCAAAGGAGCTGGGTGGTGGTGGCACACACCTTTAATCTTAGCACTCGGAGGCAGAGGCAGGCAAATCTCTGTGAATTTGAGGCCAGCCTAGTCTACAAAGGTAATTCCAAGACAGCCAGAGATACATAGAGAAACCCTGTCTTGAAAATCCAAAAGTAAAATTAAATAAATTTAAACCTTGAAAAGTGCCCCCAGAGACATAGTTCCTCCAAGAAGGCCACACCTTCTGATCCTTCCCAAGCAGTTCCACTAACTCAGGTCCAAGCATTCAGCTATATGTACCTATTGAGGCTGTTCTTATGCAAACCCCACCATTATGTCTCCTGATCTAATTTTTCCATTGCCTTCACCACAGATAATTTAAAATTTTAAATCTGTGTTTGTCACTTTCAAGTTTAACACCATTTTTTAGTTCACACTAGAAATACTTATGTGTTACCTGTGTATTTATTTCTTCAGCTATTCCATTATTCCTGCTTTCTGTGTAGTCCTGTTACAAAATACCGCAATTCTATAATTTATCCCAAAGCCCTTTTTATTCCTTTGAGAGAATGTGCTAATGTGCTTGCTTGTGTTGCAGTGTAAGGTTAGAAACTAGGTCTTTTAAAAGGCCATTTATTTACAATATTATATAGCATATTTATAGTAATGTTTATTGAGTAAATTCATTCTAAATTTGGGAGAAGTAATTGGTAAAACTATACAAAGAAGCAATATTTGGAGAAGAATTTTTTTTTCTTTTTTTGAGACAGGGTCTCTCTGTGCATTCCTGACTGCGCTGGAACTGTCTCTGTAGACCAGGCTAGTCTTGAACTTACAGAGATCCCCTGCCTTTGCCTCCCAAGTGTTGGGATTAAAAGCATATGCTACCAAGCCCAGCCAGAGGAGATCAGTTTTAGACATTTCAGATTTGGGCACCAATAGAATGGCTTTGAGGTAAAATATCTAACTGTGACAACTGTTGTATGTGTAAATAATAGCAGGAATATTTAATCTCCTTCTAGACCTAAGACTGATAGAGTTCAAAGGTCTAGAGCCCACTGGGAAAGTCTGAACATGAGCTGAAACTGGTCTGTTGATGTAAGTGATGGTGCCCTAAAAATCATATTTCTATAATGCTTGCTTTATTTTCTTTCTCTGACAGGTTCATTATTATGAAGATGGTAATGTTCAGCTAGTGAGTCATAAAGATATACAAGATTCCCTCACAGTGTCTGTAAGTAATCAGTTCTGAAATGACCATAAAATAGCCTAATATTTCTGTAAAACAGCAACTTTACCGTTGACTTTTAGTGATATTTCTCCTTCACATTAAAGAGATTTCAAGTAGATTACAGTTGGTAAGGAATTGCAATGCTGTACATTTTGGGCATCTTTGTGGTTAATTCTTATATCTTTGAATTCATGCTATTGAAGTGTAAAGTTCAAGATTATTGTGATTGTGCAACAGGTGCTACTGTCTACTTCCTGGTACGGTGGATTTGTCTGTTACGGACATTTCACACAACTACAATCTTTTCATAATCTCTTTTTTTGTTACTGGCTTCTTTCCAGTTTAATGGTTTTAGTCTTTGTCTTCTGTTACGGCTTAAATCCCTTGTGTTTCCAAATAGTAGTCCGTTGTATGGGTTTGCACTTCATTCACCCTCCAGTTAGTATAGGCTTTGCTGCTTTTTAGCTTGTTTTTGACATCCATGTACAATTTTCTGTAGACTTTTTAAAAAAAAAATTATTGTACATAGGAAGGGAATTGTTGACTGTGGTATGTTTAGTATTTTGAATTACTGCCAGATAGTTTCCCAGAGTAACCACCATTTTAGTTCCACTAGAAGTAATTGAGGGCTCGTTATTTTCTCCTTTCTAAAACTTGGCTTTTGATTACAGTTCTTTGTCTTAAGTTATCTGCTCCTGTGATAAAGCACCATAACCAAAAGCAGCCTGAGGAGGAAAGAGCTTATTTCATTTTATACTTTACAGGCCTTAGTCACTTTTCTGTGGTTGCAATAAAACACCATGACTGAGGCAACGTAGGAAGAGTTTAATTGGGACTTGCAGTCACAGAGGGGTAGGACTCCATCGTCTTCATGGCAGGAGGCAGCAGGCAGGGATGGCCCTGGGACAGAAGCTGAGAGCACACTTTTTGATGCACAAACAGGAAACAGAAAGCACACCGACAGTGGTACCTGTCCTTTGAAATCTCAGTGCCCACTCCCAGTAGTAGCTTCTTCTAGAAAGGAGTACATTCTCATTCAAACCACGACACCATCATCTTGAGAGACTCAAGGCAGGAACTCAGAGCATTAATTGGAACCCAAGCAGACCATGATGAAGTGCTGCTTTTAATGACTTGCTTCTATGGCTTCCCCAGCTTGCTTTTTCATGCAGCCCAGAACCATGTGCCCAGGGTACTGCACACAGTGGATAGGTCCCTCCCACATCAAGCTTGATAATCAAGAAAATGCCTCCAGAGGAACTGATAGAAGCAGTTCCTCAGTTGACGTTCCCTCTTCCCAGTTGACTCGAGTTTGTGTCAAGTCTGTTTTCCCATCTCCCTGATAGTTAATCAGGTTGACCTTTGTCGTGTTTTTATTGGCCATTTTTTGGGTGGAAAGATTGGTGTGTGTTCAGATCCATTGCCTATTTCTCTTTATGTTGTTTAGTTTTATATGAAAGTATGTTTTGCTGATATGTCTGTCAATGGAACTGGAGGTGCAAATAGTTGTTGAGCCACCATATGTGTGCTGGGACTAGAATCCATGTCCTCTGGATAGCCAAGCAGAGCCATTTCTTCAGGTCCTTGTAAAGAGTCTTTCTCTGTCCCACCAGCAAACTCCCAAATAATGACATAGAAACTTATTATAAAAGCTTGGCCTTTGCTTACACTTGTCCCACTAGCTCTTTCTTATAATTTAACCCATTTATATTATTCTATGTTTTTGCCTCATAGCCTTTTACCTTTCTTTCATTCTGTATGTCTGACTCCCTCTGTGTCTCCTTAGTATTTCCCTGCACCTCTGTTATCTCCTCCTATTTCCTCGCTCTATGTCTGAAGTTCTACCTATACCTCCTGCCTAGCTAGCTATTGGCTACCATTCAGCTTCTTATTAAGTCAATGATAGCAATCTATTTTCAAAGTGTACAAATATCCCACAACAGTTTCTCCCATTTTTTGTCTAAATAAAAAGGAAAAGTTTTAACTCTAATATGGTAAAATTATACACAATAAGGACATTTGTCAAGTAAGAAGTACATTTACAATGTCAGTGTTATCTGTTCTATCAGTCAATCCAAGTTTTGTACCTAATTTACATTTTATTATAAGTTGCCCTAACTTATAATACCAACACAAAAAAACAACTTAAGCTTTTATGTGTGTCAGCCTTTAAACTTTACATCTCTTATGTAAGTTTCTTTTCTGAATTTGGTAACAAAGAAAACTGTTACTTTAACTATCTCCTCTTCAACTGCATCAGAGACCTGGAAAGGATATATTACCTGAGTAAACAGGAAGTGCAGAGCAAACATTTCCAAAACTATAGAAGTGACAGAAACAACTGACTGTCTGGACAGTCACCCAAGGTTCCTCTGCAGCATTGGGGCGTCCATCTTTGGCCTACAAGGCTAGAATATCTGACAGATTTTGCTGTGAAGCAGGAAATTTTGAAGGACTGGCCTACCTTGTCTTGGCAAAGTTTGGTAATTGCCTTCTTTTGTGTCCTGCTTGTCCAGTTTGGACAGCATACCATCAGCAGTTGAGGCAAGGGCAGTTTCTTGCCCATTGGCTAACTTTGCCACAATAAAAACAAACTCCATATGGAGGTTCTTCAATGCCCATCATCTTTTTTTTTTTTAAATAGATTGGTGTTTCCAGGGAACAGATGTGTCTCACTGTCATGAAAAGCCTTCTGTTATTAAGACATCCTAAATATTGTATTCTTAAGGTCTCTGAAGTGTTTGAAGGCCATCTATATAAAATACATCTCTGTATGACCTTGAACACATATCTAATAAATTTATTCAAAAAAATAAATTTGATTATAATAGATGACTAAACTACTAAGCTTAATTATCCTAAATAGCGTTTAAGGAGTAGAAATTTACATTACATTTTGAGATGAACTGCATAGGTACAATACCTTAAACAAGAGTAGAAACATATATATATAGTAGTAAATAAACTTAAATTTGTATCAATATACAGAGTTGTTCAAAAGTGGATGTTCGAAAGTAGGCTCAAACTCAACAATCCACCCTTTTATTCCATCATTCCTATCAATATTTCCCATTTTTCCCTTCAGGAAGAGATCCCTGGATCTGATCTCCTTTGTTTAGTTCTTTTTCTGACCATGATGAATAGCAACTTGTAACCAGCTCCCCCCCCCCCCCCCCCCTCCCCCCACCCCCAATAATGGCAATTATCCTTAATCCACTGAATGTCCAAAAACCACCCACCCTACCTCTTGGGAATGTGGACATTGTGTTCTGTAGACTGCTTCCTGTTGTTTGGGGGTGATGACATCTATTGGGGGTAATGATAAGTGCTGGGAAAGCTAGCTGTATCATTTGTTGTCCAGTCTCTATATGGTGGGTTTATCTGAAGTCCTGGCTAGAGTAGTCTAATGCTGAACCCTTCTCAGCTAGCAGCTTTGAAATGTTCTAGATGCAGAACTCTGAGGAAACTTGAACAGAGGCATTTTGAGAAGGTGAATCACGTGAGCAACTTGTCTTTATTGGTATTTGGTCCTTTTTTCTTTCTGAAAACATACAAGCTTTTAAAGGTAACGTACATATCTGCCATTAACACTAGTATGAAATGTGTGGTGTGCTCTAGTCAGCTAAGGAAGATTTTTTGTTATTGTTGTTCTATGTTTGAGCAGGCACAAGGCATCTGTCAACTTTATAAGTCCATTTGGATTGTATAACCAAACCTCTATCCATGCCGTATGATAGGATGGCACGTAATAATAAGTCATGAGGATTCTAAAATCAACAAGATTTATCATGTATCATCTAGTCTCAGCTGTAGCCATGATGAGGGATCATTTTACCCAGCACCAGTCTTTCTTGGCATTTTCCCTCATGTCTGCAACCAAGATCCTCAGGGTGTCTCTTCCAATGAAATTTGATCTTTACTAATTTTGAAGAGAACCATAACTTTTTCTTTTCCTATATAAACAAAGTTATAATCTTTCCCCCAATGCAGCACGTTATCTGACTTCCATTTTGAAGCCAGGGAATCCCTAACGTATGTAAGCTGATTTAATTGAGCAGCTCCTTCCACAACCCATTGTCTCTCAGCAGCTGCTGTTCTCTACTCATTAGAATTTAAAACATTCAGAATCAACAAAGCACCATATACGGTCCAAACTCGCTAAGTTAGAGTATTTCCATCCTTATGTGGCTTATTCTTGTTCTCTTTTCTTTTTAATTTATTCTTTCTTTAAAACTTTATTAGTTTTGAACTATTTATTTTTTGACTGTACCCTTTTTCTTTTTTTCTTAAGTACGCACATTATTAAACTGCAGATTTTTTTCTATTTGAGCCTGCTTTACTGCGTACTATCAGGAGACACATTTCTCTACCATGGCCCTCATGAGAGACTGCAGGACTAGGAAGTTGCATTTTACTTTGTGTGTTTAGAACTTTTTTCAAGGGAGGATTTCTGTAGCTTTGGAGCCTGTCCTGAAACTCGCTCTTTAGACCAGACTGGCCTCAAACTCTCACAGAGATCCACCTGTCTCTGTGTCCTGAGTGCTGGGATTAAAGGTATGTGCCACCACTATCTGGCTAGAACTCTTTTTTAAAACTTTCTCAGGTCTTATGTGGAAATGCATGCCGCTTGTTGGGTGTCGTTTGTTTCAAGTCTTTCTCTGTCCCACCAGCCAGCTCCCAAATGACCACATGGAGACTTACTAATTATGAACGCTTGGCCTTAGCTTAGACTTGCTCCACTAGCTCTTAGAACTTAAAGTAACCCGTTTACAGTAATCTCTGTTTTGCCTTGTGTCTTTTTACCTTTATTTCATTCTGTATGGTCGACTCTCTTCATGTCTCTTGACATCTCCCTGAACCTCAATTATTTCCTCCTACTTCCTCTCTCTGTGCTGAAATTCCTGCCAATACCTCCTGCCTAGCTATTGACCATAAGGCTTTTTATTATAGCAATGCGTTTTCACACTGTGTACAAATATCCCACAACAGCCCCTATTGCCAATTTCCTAAATGCTTATTTCTGCTTTGGCTATTGAGTTGTAAGTTTTATGTATATTCTAGATGTGTGTCTGGGATTAGGTAATTTATAAATGTTTTCACTTTTCTGTGTTTAGTCTTTTCAACTTACAGAGTCATTTGCAAAACAAAACTAGAGTCTTACTGTATTCATTTTCTCTTCTATCATTTGCGTCTTTTGTTATAGTAACTATTTATTTTTAAACAGCTGCCTAAACCACGGTCATGGAGATAAGTATACCTAACTTTGAAACCATACTATGTTTTAAGTTCCTTCAAATTGAGGAGTTTTTGCATTTGTTTCTTATTTCTCCCTAGAGTTCTTTTACTGTTCATTTAATTGAGTGCATCTATTTTCTTACTGAATTTTTTTCACTTCTAAGATACTAACAGTGACATTTTTCTTTAGACACTTGTGTTTGTATACTAAAGTACCAGTGTAGTGTAAGTATTAATTTTACAGAAGCATTAGCTTTAAAAAACCATTTAGGATTCTTTTAGGCCAGGTGCTACCAGAGAAGAAAAATAATATCTGTTGATAACGGTTCTTGTGTATTCCAAACTATCCTCTATCTCCAAATTCTCCTGTCTCAGCCTACCTTGTGTTGGGATTGCTGGTGTGGTTACCAGACCTAACTCCTTTTGTTTTTTGTTTGTTTTTTTTCTTATTATTTAGGTAGTTTCTACTTTTAATGCTGATACTTTTATGAACTTTACCAGTCATAGCAACTTATCTATACTCCAAAGAAATATTATTTCCTTGAAGTTGGGAAAATTGCCATTTGCAATTATCATTTGCAATATTGATCAAAAAACAAAGACATGCTACATCATTGGGGAGTTTGATAACAAAGATACATGCTTACATCATTAGGTAGTTTGATATTATGGAAAAATTCATTGTAAGATTTGTGCAAAAACTAGTCAGGCTGTGGTGGCTCATGCCTCTAATCTCAGCATTTGGGAGGCAGAGGCAGGTGAATCTCAGTGAGTTCAAGACCAGCTTGGTCTAGAGAGTGAGTTCCAGGACAAACAGGGCAATACAAAGAAACCCTCATCTCTAACCCATCCCCCAAAAAAAACTTGGGCAAAACTCATAGGCTAGTGTTCCATGAATTAGTCATAGTAATCAGACATGACTTGCCTTGTAGTTCTAAGTGTTTAAGAGGTTTTAAGATTTTTCATTGTTATAAAGTGCATGTATACAAATATACATATTCACATATTACTATATTAGAGAATTTGACAGTAATACTTCATTTAAAAATATAGATATTTATTGATACTTCATTACTACCTGAATTTTTGTCTGGACTCCAGTCAGCTAGTGAGACATAGGATAGTGTACTCCAGAGCAATGTGGAGGATTCTCTGGAAAAGAGACTGACATGGCTTACCCTGCAGAGGTAAGAACGGATGATGGCAATAGACAGTTGTGCTGACTTAGATTGTGGGTAGACATAGGATTTCTAAAGCCTTTAGAACAGAGCTTTTCTTCAAGGATTTTCTGTTGGTTGATTGACAGGCCCATTTGGATTGACACTTAATAGAGGGAATATTGGTATGTGCTTTTGTTTGTTTGTGTTTAACAGAGAGCTTCCAGATAATTAATAATCTTAAAGGATTTAAGTAGTTAATCTTTCTATGAACTTTGTGTCTCCAGTTTTAAGAGATAAGAATCTTAATCCCCTCTCTTCACCCTTTTTTTTTTTTTTTTTAAACCAGTAGTAGAATCCTCCAGATTCAGTTGCTGGATTTATAAGCTGTTGATTGTGACCAAGAGGGTCATTTCCATTGTCCTTCAAGCCTGCTTTGTGTCACTATTAGAAAAACAAGCACAACCATATATTTGCATGATAAAATTTGTTTTGAAAATATTTAGAGTAAATGTACTTCAGATTTAAAATATGTTCTTATTAATTGTTAGGGTTTTAAAAGTGATGGTAAATATTACACAATAAATATTTAGGCAAACATGATTAACTAGTAATCTATGTCATTGTAATTGGATTTTTCTTCTGTATATTATTAAAACATCACTTAATTAAATACTGAGACTAGTTGTATTCTGTGACCTTTAAAAATATTTTTGCCTGGTTCTCCTTGGACATAGAGTATAATCAATTTTATAATTTTCTTTTTTAAATGTGTGTGTGTGTTTGAATGTATCTCTGCCTGCCTGTATCTGCATGAAGGTATATGTACATGTGAGTGTGGACTCCAGAAGAGTGTGTTGCTCCCTTAGTTAGAGCTGGAATTGAGGATGTTTGTAGGACAACCAGCTTGTGACTTCATTCCTATGACCAGAACTCTGGTGTTCCTGATTGTGTAACAAGACCTCTTTTTATTGTTATTCTTACTTTTTAAACAGGGCCTCACTATGTAGCTCTGTCACCAGGTAGATCAGGCTGACCTCGAATTTATTTATAGAGAACCGTTCACCTCTGCCTCCTAGTGCTGGGATTAAAGGTGTGTACCACCATGCCTGACTGCCACAAGAGCTTTTCAGCTCTGAGCCATCTCTCCAGCCACATTGTTATCTTCCTTCCTTGTTAGAATCTTCATCTGCACTATTTATTAAATAGCTTAAACATGGCTTTAAAAATAGTGGGTTAGGGGCAGGTAGGATGCTTGCCTAACATCCACGAATTCCTGTGTCCAAGAGCAGCAGTGAAGGAAAACAAATAAATTAAAAATAGCAGTGGTTCAGTTTTTATTTACGTTTTCTTTTGTTTCAGAATGAGGTGCAGACAGCAAAAGAATTTATAAAGATTGTAGAAGCTGCAGAAAATGAATACCAGGTATGATTATCAAAAGTATCTGTGTTCACTGAGGGCTGGTTCTGAAATTCAATAGCTACTTTAAAACAGCTTTTAAGTCCATCCATGTTGGGGTTTTTAATTCATTGTTAGACAGTGAAATGGACTGCTTAATATTATTCTGAGAACACTCTATGTTGTAAGACGTTGCTTCTTTGGTTTGCTTTAAATGTCTTAACTGCTGGCTTTTGGTTTTTGTTTTTTGGGGTTTTGTTTTTTATAGACTGCCATCAGTGAGAATTACCAGACGATGTCGGACACTACCTTCAAAGCCTTACGTCGACAGTTGCCAGTTACACGTACTAAGATCGACTGGAACAAGATCCTTAGCTACAAGATTGGCAAAGAGATGCAGAATGCATAAATGGAAGTTGCATGACCAGATTGTTTTAGTGTCTTTACGTTAAAAAAACAATTATTGCGAAAAGTATTCTGAACTGTCAGGCTGCCCAGTCACGTGGGCTGTTGCCACTTAAATCACTGTAATTGACTAGTTTGGTTAGAGCACAGAGCTTAGCTAATCCGCCATTGTTTTCGTTGCTTTTGTTCAGAGAGTTGGAAATGAGTTTAGCGTGAGTCCTTTACTCTGTTCCTCCTTCCTTACAGTGAAGAGGTGATTCCTCTGCGTTATGTTTAAAGGGTTTTGAAATATTTCAAAAGTATTTTATTTACCAGGACCCTGAATTGTCTCTGGCTTATGAAAGGGGCAGCTTTTGATGTTAGCCCAGGTATTTTTAGTGGGGTCAGTTAACGGACACTCTAGTTAAGGTGGTTGATGGACTTAGCCATATATGCTGCTAAAGAAATTGTCTACCTTTTCCTTTCACCTCTTCCACGTATATCAGATTGAGATTAGAAGGAAAGCGTTTTCTATTCCTGTTATGTTAAAACCTTCGCTGTAAGGTTATATAGCTAGCTTAGTGTCTAACTAAACTTTTTTAAAACAAGGCCAAGGTCTGTTGCTGTTTTGAGATTCTGAAATTAAATGAGAATACTTATTTCAGAAATGCATTTAATGCTTTTTTTTCTTGTGACAGTTATGCAAATTAGCTTGAATTCCATATGTCCCTGAGTTATTTTTATCACAAAGCCACAAGTGTATTATAAGGCAGATTGTAATATATATATAATCCTGAACTCATGACCATGTCTCAGTTGATTCTCCCTCCCCTTGGATTGAAACTGAATTTCATTGTGACATTAAAATAGCAAAATTTGGTATTTATTTGAGTAAAAACGTCATTTGCCAGTGAATCATACACACTATTTTAAAATACTTTCTTTGTATATTGTCCTTCTTAACAAGTTGTAAGTTAGGAGATTTGGGCGTCCACATGGTGTGCAGCTGCATCTTTGGTTTTCCATCTTCCTATGCATCATGAGCATGTTTGTGATCCTTTACAATATATCCACTGACGCCGCCGGAGTTCAAGCCTTGGTGAATGTTAGCATTTGCTATGAGGAGTTGGTGGATTTGTGGTTTCATTCAGAAGTTTGCTGCTTACACTCGAGTGGAATCCATTCCTCATGTACTCCTGCAGACATCTGGGCCTGAAATTTTTTTTTTTTTTTTAAAAAAAAAAACACTTTTACTATGTATAATAAAATATTTCATTAGCTTGAATTGTATAGATTTTTAAAAATTCAATGAGAGCATGTTTAATTTCTTTTTAAAATTACTGTTGGGCTTCAAAAGCATTGCAAATATATGACATTGTCACAGTTTTGGCTAATTTTTTCTTTAGTTTTTAAGTTGGGGCATCAGGATTTCTAAGGAAAATGAACTAATAACGTTAATTTTCTGTTCTGGTTTTTAAATTTGCTAAGTTATATGAATTGAACTAACATGGGTTTATATCCATGGCAATTTTGTATTTTTCTGTTCTGGAGTCTAGAATATATTTTTGAAAATATATACAACCTTTTAAATTGGCATGTGAAACATGAAATTCCTCCAAAAATTCAGTCATGCCAAGATAGTGATTGTACAATTTTAGAGTCTGAATATTCTGTTAACTTGAAAGAAGATTGAAACTGTGGAATACCTAAAGCTTGAGGATTGTTTTCATAGGAGCTGTAGTGGCGCATCTGGTCAGTGCTGAGGAAATTGACATGTGGGAGCCAGGAGAACCGATGAACTTAGGAGGCTACTGCAGTGGTCGTGGTGGGAGACATGAGGTGTTTTTACCTTGTGGAATTAGGGTTAGGCCAGCCAGTTTGGTGTCTAGACCCAGGAGGCTGGCCGGGGGAGTTTGGTTTTAGATTTTATAGGAAATGGCTAGCAGTTACTGAAAGAAAACAAAATAAATGCTGTACATTGGAAGAATGGAAAAGTGGGCCTGGGAAATAGTTGCCAGATGAAAAGTCCCTTGGGGGTCCAAATCAGGAGCAGAAGGAGAGAGAGCACGAGCAAGGAACTCAGGACCGCGAGGGGTGCACCCACACACTGAGACAATGGGGATGTTCTATCTGGAACTCATCAAGGCCAGCTGGTCTGGGTCTGAAAAAGCCTGGGATATAACCGGTCTCGCTGAACATAGCGGACAATGAGGACTACTGAGAACTCAAGAACAATGGCAATGGGTTTTTGATCCTACTGCACGTACTGGCTTTGTGGGAGCTTAGGCAGTTTGGATGCTCACCTTACTAGACCTGGATGGAGGTGGGTGGTTCTTGGACTTCCCAAGGGGCAGGGAACCCGGTCTGCGTATGAGAGAGGGAGTTGATTGGGGGAGGGGGAGGGAAATGGGAGGCGGTGGCGGGGAAGAGACAACTCTTTAATAAATAAATAAATAATAAAAAATTAAACACATCCCAAAAGAAAAAAGAAAAGTCCCTTGGGGTGATAGGAATCGATGTGAAGCAGCATTGGGTGTAGGCAGAGAGTCCATGAGCTGAATTTAAGCAAGGTGCTTGCTTTGCCAAGATTGCATGACTCACCAATGAAAAGGAGGAAGGTTGTGGTGACGGTCTGGGATTTAAGCTACGTAACAAGGAATGACCCAAAGGAAAATAGTACCATCAGCAAATCACAGCTGTTTGGAGTATGGGCTAGAACTGTGGTTCTCAAACCTCTATCTCCAAAAATATTTACATTATGATTTTTTTTTTTTTAATTTTCGAGACAGGGTTTCTCTAGCTTTTGGTGCCTGTCCTGGAACTAGCTCTTGTAGACCAGGCTGGCCTCGAACTCACAGAGATCCACCTGCCTCTGCCTCCCGAGTCCTGGGATTAAAGGCGTGCGCCACCACCGCCCGGCTACATTATGATTCTTAACTGCAGAATTACAGTTACGAAGTAGCAGTGAAAATAATTTTATGGTTGGGGTCACCACAACATGAGGAACTGTATGAAAGGGTCGCAGCATGAGGAAGGTTGGGAACCACTGGCCATGAAGCAGTTAACTGTCAGTATATAAGTCATGGTTACTCTAGGATGCTAAATTGAGAAGGAGGAGAGTTAGTGATTAACAAGTACTGCAGAGGCAGTGAGTAGCTGGGGACCACAGTGGGGACACAAGCAGCCATGGAATTTGGGGCGGAAGGACAGCAGTGGATATTGAAGCCAGGACTTGGGTGTGTGGCACAAGCACTACTTTCACAGGTTGTACAGATCCTTTGGGCTTGCAGTGGGTATTCCTGACACATCTTCAGACACGAGTTCTGTCTTATGTATGTGATAGCATGCATTCCTGAGCTTTAGAAAATTCTAGCTTATGTTCTTAAAATTCTTAGTAAAATTTATACAAGAACACCGATAGATAGCAATATAAGATCTGAGTGGTTTCTGAGTTTTAAATAGTGTTTAATAACCACAGTGCAAGTTTTGAAGTAATGGAAGCTTTGAAACTTTCAACGGGTCTTATATATACTGATTTTCCGTCTTGTGCCCTTGCCAACCATTGGGTGTTAATGATACCTTTAGCCCAGCCCAGAATACACAGCAGCTAGCTTTATCATGTGTTCATGTTTAAATGTCCCAGTAAAGACATGTATTTCTGTTAGCATGTTCTCTGACATCTCTAAGGAATATTACTTAAAGCCAGAATATTCTATAACCATGAAGCCTATAGATTTGGAGGCTTATTAAAAAAATTAGAAAGTTTTTGTTGGATTTTGGTGGTGGTGTTTTTGAGACAGGGTGTCTCTGTCTAGCACCGGCTGTCCTGGAATCCTGTCTACCAGACTGGCCTCAATCTGCCTGCCTCTGCCTTCCTTTGCCTCCCGAGTGCTGGACTTAAAAATTGCACTCTACCATCACTGGCTTTTTGAAATAGATTTTTTTTTAAAGACAGACCCTTTCAAGATGGATAGGAATCTCAGAATTTAATGTTTTAAGCATTATGCAAAAGCAGTGCAGGACCAGCCAGGATTGAGGGTTACCTATTAAAGAATAAAAATTTATCAATTAAAATGACCAGTTAGACTTAAGAAAATGGAGGGAGATAGAGGTTAATGTCAAGTATTCAAGATTAACAAACTATGTAGAGATATTGTGGAGTTAGTCAACCACGAGACATTTTTAAGGATATGGGATCCCTAATGTTTTGTGACCTCTGGCTCATTACAGTTATTCAGAGATGCTGGTGCTCATAAGGCACACTGCAGGGAATGGTGGTTCTGCTAGTCCTTGGCCCATTAAGAGGATCATGATACACTTGGAACCCATTTAGGAAGATGGACCACAGATAATAATTAAGAGGTTGGAGCTGGGAAGTGGCTCCCTTACTAAAAGTGAATGCTACACAAGTGTAAGGACCTGAATTGAGATCCTTAGCAATCATATTTAAAAAAAAAATAAGTAAAGATGAGCCCAAGTGTCATCAATGAAACAGGAGAACCCATGGGGCTTTCTGACCAATCTGTGTAAGTGAGCTCCATGTTTAGTAAGAGATCTCTCAAAAACTAAGAAGGGCAAGGAGATGGCTGAATAAAAGGTGCTTGATGCACAAATCTAAGAATCCACATAAAAATCTGGGCAGGCATGGCAGCCTCCTAAATCCTAATCCTTGAGAGGACAGGACAGGGCCAACCATTGGCCAAGTAGCCAGCCAGATTGTCTGAATTGACAAATTCCAGATCCAGTGACAGACCTGCCTCAGTAAATGGAAAGTGGTAGACAACGCCCAATACCAGTTTCTGGTTATGCGCACTAAGTCAAACTTCAGCGAAGGTAGCTTTTGAAGCTAGCCAGAGGGCGGCTTTCTCTGAAAAGAATTTGTACATTATTTGGCTGAATCCTCTGGGATATTAGTGAAACATTCAAGTACAGGTAACAGGTTTCTCGTATGGAAATGTCATAAACGCTCCGAAATACGAAATTAAGTGCACCAAACCGGATAGCAGCTGAGCTGTTCAGTCCGCGGAGCTGGGACACCCTTCTCAGGTGAGGGGCGGGTCCAACTCTCCCAGGCCTGTGGTGATTGGTAGGGTGAACCCTCCCAAGTGTGGGGCCAGCTCTTTCCTTTGGGGTAGGGCCAACTTTCCTGCTCAGGGCAGGAGGCTGCGCTCAGGGTCTGTAATCCCAAGGCTGAGGAGGTTCAGGTCTGCTCTCCTGTGAGGGGAACAGAGCAGGCCCTTGTACTTCAGCATTCTCCTGGACCCCCTCAGTAACACAGGCAACGGATATCCACACAGATTTCAGCCGCTGCAAAACTGCGGACCCAGACATGGTCATAGGCAGCAGTTTGGAGCTGGACGTCACCATGGCCACAGGTGGCAGGCAGTTCAGGCCTTTCAGATATGGATGGGCCCAACAGCATTGTCCCAGGGTTCCAACCTGGCCCCATGTGGTGGTTCAGCAGTGTTGCATTAGGAGCGGCGGGGCTGCGTCTCCAGCACCAGGCCGCCTGCATGGCTAGCTTATGCCCCGAAATAATTACACGGAAACTGTATTCTTTCAAACACTGCCTGGCCCGGCTAGTTCCAGCTTCTTACTGGCTAGCTCTTACATATTGTTCTAACCCATTTCTAATATTCTGTGTAGCCCACGAGCTGGCTTACCAGGGAGGATCTTAACCTGCGTCTGTCTGGAGTGGGAGAATCATGGCGACTCCTCACTCAGCTTCTTTCTCCCAGAATTCTGTTCTGTTTTCTCCGCCTACCTAAGGGTTGGCCTATCAAATGGACCTAGGCAGTTTCTTTATTAATAAGAAATCACTCCCACATCACAGCAGGAGCCACAAACCTCAACACAGACTCTGGTTGTGGCAGGGCCATGGATAGACAATTGGTCCCCAGCCACAGCTTGGGCCCAGATGTCTCCATCGTGCCAGGCAGTACAGTCGGCCCTGATCTGTATAACCCCAAGGGTAGCGGTGACGCTTGGGCGCCAACACCCCGGGTTTTTGGTGTGTTTTTTTATGTTTATATATTTCTTTTTTTGATTGATTTTTATTGAGCTCTACATTTTTTCCTGCTCCCCTCCCAGCCTCTTTCTTCCCCCACCTTCAACCTTCCCCCAAGGTCCCCATGCTCCCAGTTTACTCAGGAGATCTTGTCTTTTTCTACTTCCCACGTAGATTAGATCTATGTAAGTCTCTTAGTGTCCTCATTGTTGTCTAAGTTCTCTGGGATTGAAACACCCAGTTCTTAAATCTGAATACCCCTAAAAGTCTTTATGAGCAAGCAGCACAAGCTATCCCCTTCTTCTTGGGCATGGTGTGTTGCTAACCTGCTAACTCCCAGCTGAATGTGTACACACATTATGAACACACAGCTCTG